ATCTTTCTCTTGCTTAATTCTGACTATTGCCCAGGTCTAAGATGCTGTACATTTCTTTACTGTGAGGGTGGTGAGGTGCTGGCACAGGCTGCCCAGAGAGGTTGTGGATGCCCCGTCCTTGGAGGTGTTCAAGGCCAGGTTGGATGGGGCCCTGGGCAGCCTGGTTTAGCATTAAACGTGGAGGTTGGTGGCCCTGCATGTGGCAGGGGGGTTGGAGATTCATGATCCTTGAGGTCCCTTCCAACCCTGGCCATTCTGTGATTCTGTGATTCTATGATGTTAAAATAATATTTCCATTTACAAAGTAGTTTTAAATTCAGCACAGTTCTTTCTGCAATTGTGTACAGTTGTCTGCATTTTGACTATCTTTCACAGTTTAGTTCAAACTGAAAAGCTGTTGAGTAAGACAACAGGAGAAAAGTGAGTAATATTTACCCTAACACACAAAGACAGCACAACATTCTGCAAGAATGAGAGCAGATTTAGATTAAACATTAGGAGATATTTTGCTCAAGGGGTGGTGAGGCAGTGGCACAGCTGCCCAGCGAAGCTGTGGGTGCCCCATCCCTGGAGGTGCTCAAGGCCAGGCTGGATAGAGCTCTGAGCAGCCTGAGCTGCTGGGCGGCACTGCCCAGGGCAGGGGTTGGAACTGGATGGGCTTTAAGGTCCCTTCCAACCCAACCATCATGTGATTCTGTCGTTCTACGAATATGGAAAGCACATCACCAAGTTTTAAGTAGAGTTTACCTTTTTGTTTATGTAACACTGATTCTCACATTATATACAGACACACTTCTGCAACAACGTAAAGACACAACCTGAGAACAGACTCACTTGGGTTGTGAAGCTCCTTCTGAATCCTCTCCAGAATCTCCACCTGTGTCTCTAGGCAGAGGAAGAGATTCAGAATCGTCGTCACTGTCAGCAGCTTCTGAGCTGCTGCTGCTTCTGTAGTCCGGGGGCAATGCTGGTCCTGCAACTGAGCACCCAAAGTTACAGGGGATATTTGTTAAACATTTCAGAGAATCATAGAATCATAGAATGGCCTGGGTTGAAAAGGACCACAATGATCATCCAGTTTCAACCCTCCTGCTACGTAAAGGGCTCCAACCACCAGACCAGGCTGCCCAGAGCCACATCCAGCCTGGCCTTGAATGCCTCCAGGGATGGGGCATCCACAGATTTCAAATGAGTGTTATCTGTCTTGGTACTCCTCAAACACCTGCCTCCCTGGAGGTTATTCCCAGTTTGATGATGCGTGAACAGCAGGCACAGAGCTCATCACACTGCTGAAAAAAGGGATGCCTCAGGCTCCTAGACATCTGTCAGAAGGCTGAGAATGAGGCTCTCATGCTCCAGCCAGCACTTTGCTCTCTGGAGTAAAGAGGAGGACGGAGACATCCCAGTTAAGGGGAGGTTCAGGCACTAACGCTGTATGTAACCAGCATGCACAGCTCTTGCTTGCATACTGTACATGTATATTGGTCTGACCCTCATAACAAATGCCCTCCAGACAAAAAGCTTGATACAGGTACCCTCAGAGGCTTCCCAGACCCAAGGCAGGCCAGCACAGTTCTGTACAGCACCAACAACCACCTGATACCAAGGAGATGTGACCGTACTGGTGATTCAACTCTGCCATGTACACACCATTCCTCCTCTTCATATTTCAAGCACTGAAGCTGAGACTGACAGGACAAAAAGCTGTTTGGTAAAAGGCATTGTTAACTATATGAATAGTCAAGGATTGAATGAAAAGACGAGGTGCAATAAAACCACCAAAAAGGAGGGTAACAGAAAATTACATCTTTGACTGAGATTTTTTTTTTTGATGGCACAAAGTAATGCCTGATGCAGACTGATACTCCATTCTTAGCTAACAAAAAGCAAGGCAGAAATTGAGACCTTCAGGTGAGCTTTACAAAGCTTTTATCTGTCTTTATCAAAAGACATGGAGCCAGGAGAGTTCCCTAGTTATGATGTACCCAGATGGATCAGCCACATTGTTTTCTGATTTCACAGGATGGACCTTAGCCAGGATGTACAAATACATGTCATTGCTAAGAAGGAAAAACAAATCAAACAAGCAAACAAAAAAAAACAACTAACAAAGCAAACAAAACTGTTCAGTGAACGACAAACTGGTGGTAAGTCTGTACCCAGAGTGCTGGCCAATGTCTCAGTGTCTGGATGGAGATCGGTGATGAGTGGTGTGTCTTAGGGGTCAGTACTGGGACCAGTGCTCTTTAACATCATTATCAGTGACATCAACAGTGGGATTGAGTGCACTCTCAGCAAGTTTCCAGGTGACACCAAGCTGTGTGGTGTAGTTGACATGCTGGAAGGACAGAATGACATTCAAAGAGACCTAGACAGGTTTGAGCAGTGGGTCCAGGAGAACCTCATGAGGTTCAACAAAGCCAAGTGCAAGGTCTTGCACCTGGGTAGTGGCACCACAATATCAGTGGGGGATGTAAGGGTAGAGCACAGCCCTGCTGAAAAGGACCTGGGGGTACTGGTGGATGGGAAGCTGGACACGAGCCACCAACATGCCATCACAGCCCAGAAAGCCAACTGTATCTCGGGCTGCATCAAACACATTGTAGCCAGCAGAGTGAAGGAGGTGATCCTTCCCCTCTGCTCTGTGCTGGTGTGGCCTCAGCTGGTGTACAGCATCCAGATTTGGAGTCCTCAGTACAGGAAAGCTGTGAACCCAATGGAGTGATTCCAGAAGAGGGCCACAAAAGTGATCTAAGAGATAGAACGCTTCTCCTATGAGGACAGGCTGAGGGAACTGGGATGTTCAGGCTGGAGAAGAGAAAGCTCTGAGATGACCTGAGAACAGCCTTCCAATATCTAAAGGGGGCTGTAAGAAAGAAGGGGACAGACTCCTTAGCAGAGTCTGTTATGACAGGACAAGGGAAAATGGTTTCAAACTAAAAGAAGGGAGATTTAGACTGGATACAAAAAAAGTGTTTTTTTACAATGTGGGTGGTAGGGCACTAGAACAGGCTGCCCCCTTCCTGGAGACATTCAAGGCACGGCTGAGCACCTGATCTAACTGTAGGTGTCCCTGTTCATTGCAGGGGAGTTGGACTAGGTGGCCTTTAAAGGCCCCTTCCAAGTCAAATGATTTTACGATTCTATGACAAACAAAAAAAGAAAACAACCCAGCCTAGCCTATAAAGTTCAGGGTAAGAGAGAACCAACAGATGGATATAATAAATAGCCATAAAGGTTCAAGGACTTGTGGCCTGAGAAAAAAAAATAGCTTAACACAAAGTATTAAGAAGACAAACAAAACAAAACAAAAAAAAAACCAACACTACAACTTATTTCTCCAGCAAACGAAGCAGAGCATCATTTGGTCTGAACAGAGGCAGGGGTTGGATGGAGCAAAGGGAGCAAACGGATGCAAGCCGAGAAACGGGTCATGGCTTTGTGAGCCAGAAAGAACAGGGAAACCAGTGCTGTGTGAGCAAGAGGCTGGTCCCACTGACATGCTGACAAACACCAGTGCTTTCTACTCCAATTCCTTCCCACTGTTCTCTCTGCCATGCCAAAGAGCAAGCTTGTGTGGGCTGTACAATCAGGCAGATCAAGGAACTTAGCAGACATAAAAATTACACAGCAAAAACCAGCACTGCTCTGAAAGAGCTGCTCGTACTTGGAACTGCTACCAAAATAAAGAGCCTGGTTCGGGAAGGAAATGGGCGTTTATAGGCTGGGGATGGGGGAAAGAAGAGTCACTTGGTGAAAGCAACGGAAGAGCAATGGATGAAGGAGAGCAACAGAGGAAGCAAAGTAGCAAGCAGAGCTGGGTCTGACTGAAATGCGCGTTTCACTGCTGCCCGGAGCGGCCATCCTCGCAGTGCTGCTCTGACTCGCCCTTCTGGTAGATGTTACGATGGTTCGGCACAGCAGGACGGCGCAGCAGGACGGCCCCACGCAGCCCGCGCCCTCCCCACGCCCCGCGCGGTGCCGCCCCCTCCCCTCAGCGCGGCGCCTCACCCTGGCCCAGCTCTTCATCCGGGTCCTCCTCGGCGCGGCGCGGGAAGCCGGGCGGCAGCGCGGGGCCGATCAGCTCGCGCGCCATGGCGAGGGGCGGGGGCGCGCCGGTGACGTCAGAGCGGCGCCCGTCGGGCGGATTTAACCCCGGAAGAAGAAGCTATAGAAACCGGAAGTGACGCGTTTTGTAGCGGCCGGCCGGCGGTGCGGCTCCTCACGCGGCGGGCATGCAGCCGGGCGGCGAGCTGGGCTCCGCCGTGAGCCCGTTCGGCTGGTTCCCGCCGCCGCCGCTCCGCCCGCCCCTCTTTTGCCCGCCGCCTCCTTGGGAGCCCGGCTTCTGGCCGCCGCCTGACGGCTACGCCCCACCGCCGGCATGGTACCCGCCGGCCTACCAGGAGCCCCTGCGGCGGCCGCACAGTGGTGAGCGGGGAAGAAGGGGGTCCCGGCGCCTTCTTTCCTCCTTTTCCCTTCTCTTCCTTCTTGGAGCTGCCCCCAGTCTCGTTTCCTGATCCTTCAGCCCCGACTTGAGTCTGCACGGCCCCTTTCCCTCGCTCCCCACCTGGTCGTGCGTATGGGACTCATCGGCTGCAGCAATTGAAACCGACTGTTGTGTTGTGTGGGTTTTTGTTTTTGTTTTTTTTTTTTTTTAAGGTGGAAATGGCCATTTTCCCCAGGAATGGCAAGGAGAGCAAGCGCCTGGATTTCATAAGCGTTCTCCAGGTGGAAACAACAGGCAGAAGGTACGGATGCTGAAATGGGCTATGTGGCCTTCAGTGTTCCCTTTCTGTGATAAACTGTTTTGCGATGTTGGGACGGAGGTGACTCTGTATGGCTTGTGTCCCTGTGCAGCCACTGTGCTCTTGACTAATGCTGCTGCCTCTGTGAGATTGAATGTACATGACAAGCAAAATAAGCGTGGTGCCCTGGCGTGATTGAGGAGGTGATTCTTCTTCTCTGTGCTGTCCTTGTGAGGCTTCACCTGCAGTATTGTATCCAGGGTGATGGATGTTGGAGTGAGTCTAGAAGAGGCCACTGGGATGAGGCTGGAGCGTTCTCCTATAAAATGTGGAGGAGAGAACCGGGTTTGCTCTTCTTGGATTTAAGGGGAAGCTCTTTACAGGGAGAGTGGTGAGGTGATGGAACAGGCTGCCCAGAGAGGTTGTAGATGCGCTGTCCCTTCAGGTGTTCAAGACCAGGTTGGATGGGGCCCTGGTCTAGTGCCGTATCTGGAGATTGGTGGCCCTGCCTGTGGTAGGCGAGTTGATCCTTCAAATCCCTTTCAACCATTCTCTGATAAGTGCAGGTTCTGAAGGAGCCTCATTGTGACCTTCCAATACTTAAAGGGGGCGTATAGGGAAGTTAAGAAGGGGATATTCATCATATTTATCAGATAGCATGAGAGGACAAGAGGTAGCAGTTTCAATCTCATCTGTATCTACTCTCTTAACTATAAGGAAGAAATCATATGCTCAGGGGTGGTGAGGCACTGACACAGGCTGCATGGAGAAGCTGTGGGTGCCCCATCCCTAAAGGTGCGTAATGCCAGGTTGGATGGGGCCATGGGCAGCCTGAGCTGCTAGGTGGCAGCCCTGTACATGGCAGGAGGTTGGAACTGGTTGGTTCCTTCCAACTGAAGCTTTTCCATGAACTGGCCTCAAACCCTGAGCTCAACGAAGGGATCAAATCCTAAAACACGTGATCTCAATAAAAGCCTTTATTGTGATGATGCCCAGTTACATAGATCACTTTAATGATCCATCATGTTTTCAGACCCTGGCAGCCTCATCACTTCGCTGTAATGGTGGGAGAGGGAGGGGTCCCTACTGCCCCCAAGCTCCTACCTGTCACATGAGAACAGGTGCAGACTGAATCTATGGGGAGGGGGTGTGGAGCTGTAGCCCTGGCTCTTTTCCAAGCTGCTGATACGTCTGTGTCTGCAGAAATGATAACTGATAGAGGGGTGGTAGAAGAAAGACCTGAGTGCAGTACATTTTGTTTGGAAAATGAATGATATCAATTTTAGCTTTGTTAGTTTAGATATTTGGTAATACCTCAAATAAAACATTCTGAACAATTTATTTCCTATCTAGTTAAGTAGGGTAACCTTTTAACTGCTATACTTACGTTTTTTTCCTTTCTCTTAGAACAAAAAGAAGAAGGAGCCAGTTTTCTCTCACTATTGTGATACCTGTGACCGAGGCTATAAAAACCAGGAGAAGTATGATGAACATATTTCACAACATACACAGGTTGAACTTTGCTTGCTTTATTTTTATTTCAATCTCTAGTTTTTCACATACAAACAGATAACTGTAGTCACTCTTATGATGGTAGACCTAGCAACAGATTCCTGAGTTGGTAGGAGTTGTTTTTTTTTTTTTTTTAATGCTGTGTGTAGGGAAGCTTGTATTTTTTGTGTTATTGCTCAAGTCATTTTAATGTTCTTCTGAATATTGCTAGTTCACCCCAGCACTGAGTAGCTTCACTGACATCAGCATAGCGTGTGAAATATGTGTGAAAATGCTTTATGTAGAAGAGATTTTAAAAATGCACTCCTTTACTGCAAAGAAGTAACACAATTTGGGTAGCCCCACAAATCTTCCTTTTAGCTTTGCTTTATGTTATCTCTGATTATGAGGCATGTTGTCTTCATTAGCTGTACAAAAATCAGATGGAACTTGAAAGTACATTAACCCTAATTTTTTTTTTGCAGTCATGATTGTTTTAAAATTGTATTGCTTAAAACCTGTGCCATCAGCTGTATAATCATCTGGTGCAGAATTTGACTTTTAGATAAATGTTTGTTGTAATTTTCTTGTATAATGTGATATGCCTGAAGTTCACTCCCTTTATCTTGCAGTGCACAGAAGAAGGATGCAGTTTCAATGCACATGAGAAGTTAGTTCAGATACACTGGAAGAACGTAGGTATCCCAGCTGTCTCCCAGAATATTAATCTTTGCTGTCTTCATGTAGCAGGAGGGTTAAAACTAGATGATCATTGTGGTCCTTTTCAACCCAGGCTGTTCTATAATTCTTTCTTTTTTTTCATTCTTCTGAAATTAAAACATCACTTCTGAGTAAGTTCTTTAAGTTCTTTACCCAGAGAGTGGTGAGGTGCTGGCACAGGCTGCCCAGAGAGGTGGTGGATGCTCCGTCCCTGGAGGTGTTCAAGGCCAGGTTGGATGGGGCCCTGGGCAGCCTGGTCTGGTGTTAAGTGTGGAGGTTGGTGGCCCTGCATGTGGCAGGGGGGTTGGAGATTCATGATCCTTGAGGTCCCTTCCAACCTGGGCCATTCTGTGAGTTGAATCTGTTATTAAAAAAAAAATCTTATGGGTATAAATGTTCAGTTCTATGTCTTAATGAATTTTAATGTGGTTGCTATGTGCAGTCTCAGCATGATTGGAGATTAAGTGCAGTACCCTTTTTCCTTTTTTTTTTTTTTTTTCCTGCTCCCCCTTCTGGCTTTGAAACACCTTTGAATTTCTTCCTAAGGTACATGGACCTGGTGCTAAGAGAATAAAATTAGATAGTCCAGAAGAGATTGCTAGATGGAGAGAAGAAAGAAAAAAGTGAGTAATTGCTTGACACTTTCTAAAGAACAAAATATACAAGTGGCATTGTAACTAAAGTATGGGGTGAAGTTCATATGCAGCAGGATTTCTCATTTTCTCCTGTTGTGATGTGAGGTGTATAACTTGATGCTGTTTACCAGCAGCCTGTGCTTTCATAGGCCTTTTCACGGTGGCTTTCTCATAGTTAACTCCTTTTCAGTAGATGAAAGATGCTGTAGGTTTTCCTCACTTCTGTACCTGACTTGGAATACAGTTTTGAGTGATCAGTGCATGGTGAAAACAAACCTGTAAGTAGGAGTTGTGATGCAGAGTGGGAAGTTGTATAAATCAAATTTCAAGATTGCTAATGATCAGCTTTGGCATTGTGCTAGTGACCTCTTGAGATTAAAGTAAAACAGCTTGTCTGGTACAGTCTTAAAGCCCATGCTTTTATAACAGTATCTCCAAGGGAGAAAATTAATACTTGTTTTGTTTTCAACTTTGTGTACGTTTTTGTCTTCTGAGATGCTTGTGGGAGAGCTGTTGGTGCTAAGGCTTATGTGTCAAAATGGTTTTTAAGGTGCATGCAAGTACATGCTTTGCTGTGTATTAGAAACATTGTACATTCATTTTCTGCTTCTCTAATGTTTATATGTTGTGTGCTTGGGGAGTGGATACTGTGAGTCAGAGCAAAATTTATGTGCAGTTTACTGAGTGATGATACTCTGCCTTAGATAGGGGTCTCTAGAAATTCAACAAATTATGGTAGGTAGTTGTTTTTTTTCTTTCACATGGCTATAATTTTATTGTGGTACGAGGTTCCTGGAAGCCTTTTGTTTTCTGTAGCATACTGTAATAAGTGGAAATAAAGTCACAGTCATGAGCACCATCAAAAAAGGCAATGTGGGATGAGCCAAGGCCGCTAGGTGGAGTAGTGCTGTCGCTTATTTTGGTGTGTCTGTTTCTATGTGGGTTTCTCATAATAGATGCATGTAAAACGACTACCTGAGTGGCTTGTGTTAATTTTTGTACAAAAGCTGAGATAGCTGTACTAGCACTTAATAAAAGAAACAACTAAATAAAAGCAATGAAAGCCAAATCTGAGGCTTCTGCAAAGCATTCATTGGGTGTCCAACAAAGCAACAGTATGGTGTGAAAGATCTGACTCACAGTAAACACTCAATTTGAAAGAGGGGGGGGGGAAAGGACACAAGAGGGAGTCTGAACTATTAGGGAGTTTTGATTTATGGTGACAAGTAAAAGCTTTTCTTTCTAGAAGCTCTAATCAGAGCTAAGAATGAATCTTTTTAGGTCATTAGTAGTTGGTTTCTAATTAGTTTCTGTTGATTTAATGTGTTTATTTTCATACTGCATCCCTGACCTTTGTTTTGGTTGTTCTTCCAGCTGCTGTAAATAATGACTTAGAGTTCCAGTGTCCATGATTAGCTGCTGTGTTGTTTAGTCAAGTATCCTGCTACCATCTATTAAAGCCTGTCTTTAAAGTGCAGCATCTGTGTGATGAGGGAGGGGAGAATAGTAATGAGTGAACGTCTTTGCAGGAAGTGTGCCAGGTCAGAATGCTGTTTTGCTTTTCCAGTTTCTATACAATGCCCTTCTTGTTGCAGCCTTTGCATATCTCTTCACCTAAAGGCTTTTTAATTGCTTATGAATTTGCTAAAGAGGCCAGGCTGAAGGCTTTTTAATGTTTTTTGATCCAGTTAATTGGAAAGCAGGCAGTCTGAAGTTATGTGGGCAGTGATAGAGGTGCAATTCTATGGGACCTGAGAATCGAGTGTACCCTCAGCAACTTTGCAGGACAGCACCAAGCTGAGGGGCTAATGTAAACCTAATAAGGTCCAACAAAACCAAGTGATGTACTTGGGTTGAGGCAATCCCAGATATAAGTACAGAGTGGGGAAGAACTCATTGAGATCAGAGCTGCGGGTAAGGAATTGGGTGTTCTGTTGGATGAAAACCTTGAAATGAACCAGCAGTTTGTACTTGCAGCCCAGAAGCCTAACAGTATCCTGGGCTGCATTGGAAGAGGGGTGGACAGCAGGGAGAGGAAAGGGATTGTTGCTGTCTGCTATGACCTTGTGAGGCCCCATGTGGGGTATTGTAACCAGACCTGGGATCCCCAGCACAAGAGGTGTGGAGTTGTTCAAACAGGTGTAGAGGAGGGCCCTGAAGATGATCAGGGAGCTGGAGCATCTCTCCTGGGAATAAAGGTTGAGGAGTTGGGCCTGCTTAGCTTGGAGAAGAAAAAACTTCAGAGAGACTTCATTGCAGCCTTCCAGTACTTAAAGGGAGCTCATAAACAGGAGGGAGATGGACTTTTCTACACAGGTAAAAAATGATAGGACAAGGGGGAATGACTTTAAACTATAAGATGGGAGATTTTGGATTAGAAGTCGGGGAAGTTTTTCACAGAGAAGGTAATATGATGCTGGAGTGTCCTACCCAAAGAGGTTGTAGATGCCCATCCCTGGAGGTGTTCAAGGCTAGGTTGGATGGGAGCTCTGTGTAATGTGATCTAGTGCCTGATCTAGCAACTGGCAGCCCTGCCCACAGCAGGGAGTTGGAAATACATGGAGTCCCTTCCAACCCAAGCCATTCTATGATTCCTTTGTTTGGAAGACAAATGGTTGTGAAGGCTGACCTTAGCTTTGGTGATTACAACTGCTTTTCTTGTTTTGACTTGTCCGTTCCAACTGTTGAGAAATGTGCTATTCTAGCATTTTTTAAATACAAGCTTAAAGAGAATCACCAACAGTGCATTTCCTTACTGCTCAGAATGTGGCATTGCTGTCTTCTATTCTTTCCAAGTGAAATCTGAGTACTAGTTGTCCATCTGTTTCTAACCAGCTCTTCCTGAGCAAGGGTTACTAGAAAACATGCCAAGGCAGCTCTGATGTTGAAGCAAACACCTAAGCTTATTTTTGCTTATGTTTTGATATAACACTGGATGATTTTCTCAATCTTGTGTATTGCTTCTAAATTCTGGCCTGCCCTGCTTTCTTTAACCCAGTCCAGTTAGGGAATGACTGCAGTATTTCCTTGCAATACATTTGATAGGCTGAGCATCTATTTAATAAGTGAAGACTAGTGCTGTCGTTCAAACCAATTTGTAATCCCCTAGTTGATAATGATAGCTCTTGGCATCTTCCCTGGTGATACATTCACAGTAGTTAAATAGGTAATAAGGAAAATTAATTTCTTAGTGCCTGGTACAAGTAGTGCAGACAAAGTGAAGTGGATTAAATGTTTTAAGGTGGATGTAATGGATAGAACTTACTGGTACGCACTGGGAATTAATAAAACTGCCTCAGCTAACATGTGGTGAAATCACCCTGCAGATGCAATGCTAGATAAAATGCCTGGGAGACTCAGAACAGAATTTTATCAGCTCTCTGTGGGCCCATTTGGGCTTTATGTGTCCCTTTTGCTGTTGGTTGTGTGCTCAGTCAGGACCAGCTCTGTAAATCACAGCACTTTTCCTATGAAGATAAATTTGTGTAGTTTGGACTCCAGAAATGTGCTGTGTAAACTGCTATAGAAACAGTTCTGTTTTCAGTTAGGCACTGATAAAGCTCTTTGTGCTTTCTAAGAGCTCTGTTTACTTTGTTTATTTGGGCAGGATGTAGTTAGTACACTGGACTATAAAGCATGTATGATTTTGGCTAGAGCACTCGTTTGTTGGAAAAAAATAACCTGTTTACTAGGGCACAAGCTGTGCCAAGTTGTTTACAGGACCTGAGTGCTGGGTTACTTCTGTTACTTCATTGGAGCTTGTAGCTAACATTTTAAGAACCTCATTTTATTGATGGAGGACGGCATATCTTCTAAGCCTGGGTCAGCACATCAGATCATAAAATGTGACCCCTTTATGTGTTGAAATTCAGTATGTGCTCTTTGTATTCTGCACTGCCACACTTCAGGAGCTGTCTTCCCAGCTTGGCCTCTCTAAGAAAGAATTTTCTATCAAAGAAAAAGGTGGGGAAAAAAAATTCCTCTTTCTGGTTTCTCTTGAATATCTTGTTAGCTGCTCTTAGGTGGTGAAGTTTACAAAGTGTGGGTCTCTTTTGTGTAGTTTCACCTTGGGGGTATAATGTAATGTTTGCGCTGTAGGCATCTGCCTCCACTCTGGAACTAGGTGGAATTTGCTGTTTCCATGGGCAGATCTGACTGATGCTCTGTTTTGTTACTACATGTGCAAGCCCCTCCTATTGCCCAGTTCAAACAGAACAACCCTGAATCCAGCCAGTTGTTTTGCACTAGTGAAGCATAAATATATAATGAGGACTCTTGCGTGGACAATCACTCATAATACAGGTCAAGCAGTAAAATTTCTTAATAATTGCAGAAAGCCAAGTTGGTGTTATCTTTTATTCTCATGATGTTACCAATCTTGGCTAGAACAGCCTGGCCAATTTGTGTTTCTTTAACCAAAATGCATTTGTCAGCAGTTGCACAGACCTGTTTGTACTCTAGCAGTGCTGAACTCTGGGATTGTACTGTGTGGCTGTAATGCCCCATTCCTGGGGTTGTTCAAGGCCAGGTTGTATGGGGCCTTGGGCAACCTGATTTAGTGCCCAGTTCAGTGGTTGACAAACCTGTCTTTGACAGGGAGTTTGAAACTAGATGATCTTCAAGGTTCCTTCCAACCCAAGCCATTCTATGGTATCTGTAACAGGCTGCCCAGAGGCTGTGGAGTCTCTTCCTTGGACATCTTCCAAAGCTTCCTGGTCATGAACCCAGGCACCCTATTCTGGCTGTCCCTGCTGAAGCAGGCAGTTGTACCAGATGGACTTTGGAGGTCTCTTCCCAACCTCAGCATTTCTGTGGTTCTGTGATGAGATGTGGATTTACTTCCATTTTGGAAGGTTGGGTTTGACTCGCTCTGCTTTGGGACGAGTGGGGTTGATGTGGTCCAGTCACCCAATCTGCCACTGGAGTGCTCTGCTCAGCCTTGTAGCACAGCAGAGCACCTGGGGAGGTGTGAACCCAGTCTACCTTGTATCTGCCAACTGAAGACTTGAAAGGCTAGAGCTTACTGCCCACCAAATCCTTAGATTGCAAAATAAGCTATAGGGGCCTTTTTAATCATCATAAAATGCTCTGTGCATGTGCACTGCAAAATGGGTACATTTTCTGTAGAAGATAAAGGTAATGAGTGAAATGCTATCTGTTATCTTTGTCAGGGAGAGTTGGGGTAAGCAGTTGCTACAGGTGCTGTAAGATGTACCTTTGCAGGAGTATTTGGACTTCAGATGCGAGCTTTCTACAGCTGTTAGTTTCTGTCTGTCAATTGAGAAGGTTTTCTAAAAGAAAGCATGTCTGTTTTGGCACTGAGTTGAATTAAAAGCATTCATGGAGTCCATTACAGTGGCTCAGTGGAGGGAGTGGTAACTTGTAGGAATGAAAGTGGGAGGCAGTTGGGTCTCAAAGTGTTTTGTTGAGTGCGTGTCTGAGTATGTCGTTAATCAGTGTAACTGCAAGAGCACTTCCGAGACTTTTGCTCCAGGGTTAAGGGTTTTACCTTATGTCCTTATTTTTAATGACCAAGAGGAGCTTGGAGTTCTCCTGTGTATAACTATCACAAATAACTCTTTTCTTCTCTGGGCCTTACTCGTGTGAAGTTTCCTTCTAGAAGTATGGAGGGGCTGTCAAGCACAGGGGTCTTTGAATTGAAGCTCTTGAGAGAAAATAATTCATTCCATGCCTGCTGCATATTAGGAGCTTTATAACGTGGATAAAGAAATGCAAGTAGTGGGGAAGAGTGGAGATGAAATATCATATCCCTGTGCTCGCTTCAGCTATGTATGGTGGGTTTCTGGGAGAGATCCAATGAAAATAGACTCTGATAGCCTAAACTCAAATCCTCTTAAGACATCTCTGTGGTGTGTTTAGGTGTACCTTAGAAAATGCTTGTTATCTTTTTTCCTTGATAAGTAGTCAAAGCTGTCTTGAGTCAGCATGAAGCTTATCATTCTTACTGTAAAATAGGGAAGATGCATGTGTTAAGATTAAATATTTAAAGAAAGATGTGTCCTTTTTGATAACTATGTGTAGTGAGTAGCTGTTCTAAGTTCCTTGTTACTCCATTTTAATAGACATCAAATATTTATGTTTTGTGATACTTTTTGGAAAGGGGTAGGAGTGCTTGCCATTTACCACCTTTATCTCAAAGCACTGAGGTCTGGCTAACTGATGTTTACAGAGCATCCAGCGTTGCCATTTAAGGGCTTTGACAGCAATTTGCAGGAGGCCTTGCATGTTGGAACTGGCATGGTGTACATCTGCAGGGAAAAATGGTGAGGGGAGTGGGAAGAGAGAGGTGGTTTGGTTTGGTGGATGATTGTAATAGTAGATTTGTTTTGTTCTGCATGACTTAGCAGTTTTTCTCGAAGCTGGAATAAAAAGCTGGTAATATTGGTGTAGTAGAGTTCAATATGCAAGCTCAATTCTGAATACTGTGCAGGAAGAAGCTTTTTTCCCTTAACTATGCTATTAAGGGAATCTTCTGCATGCAGAAGCTGTTCTTAAAACCCTATTTTATGTAAGAGCTGAGCCATTGGTTTGCTAAAGGCATATACCTCAGGATCCTTAAATACTCTGGTTAAAGCACTGAGTAATTAAATGCGAGACTAAATCATGTGCTGTGGTATATAGGGACAGGCAGAGGGTCTAAAAGCATGAGTCAGCTGTTAGTCTCTAGCTTGTTTGATGGTTAGGTAAATCTAATAGTGCCAATTTAGTGGATTTTTCTTGCATGGGAGCGTGTGACCATAGATACTCAGGTTTCTTTTCTTCATCAGTGCCTTTTTAAGAAGTAAGCAGTCTGGTACGCTTACATGAAACATAGAAACTCTCTCATGCTTATAGAGAATGTTGGTTTGGTAGAGGGTGGGTTGGCCAACTACAGTGAACATTTCAAGACCATATGAATTTTTTTTCTTCTAGAAATTTTCCTACATTAGCAAACATTGAAAAGAAGAAAGTTATGCAGATGGAGAAGGAGGAAAGAGGAGAAGTCCTCACCACCCCGCAGTTTGGGTAAGCATTTTAAAATCAGCTTGCTATTTTCCTTTTAATGAGTTCAGGCATATGCTTTCTTACTGTGGTCTCCAAGCACTTATTGATTCCACTGTGCACACGATCTAGCTGGCCTTTAGCAGAGAACAGGTCACTTGACAAATGGCAGATGTAATGTTCCTTTGTTTACAGTGCTTCATAGTCCACTTCAGTTAAATTAAACAATGATTGTGTTAGAAACCTGATGATGTTCTTGCTGAATTCTACACTCTGGTTTATTTGAGAAGCACATTCAAGTGGCTATTCATTAGTTCACCATAACCTTGGTCTCTGAAAAAGAAATAAGGGGGATGGAAGTCACACAACATAATTAATCTGTGGTCTAATCCTCTTATGCCTGGAAATGGCCAAGAGACTTTGTGTGGATTTGGCTTTTTACTCTCTGCTTTCAGATGATAAATCAATGATCAAGTGAAGAGCAGAGGAAGATTTAACTTTGTTTTTATGGTTTAGATAGTGCTGTTGTTGCTTCTTTTACATTCCATCTTCGTTATCTATCTGCTGCCTTTGCTCTGGGCCCAATACTTGGTCCTCTCAAATTTTTCTGTTCATTCTCTCATACTGTGAATTACTTTTTCCCTGCTATCTTTTTAAAATCTTTTTCCACAGTGTTAGTGTTATATGGAAATAGCCAACTCCATCAGCCTTGCTTTAGGGCCTGCGGGAGGACTTCTACATAAAATGGTCCACCACCCCCAGCACGTTGTTTAAGCTAGAATGACTGAGCCAGAAGGCAGGAGTGGACCCAGTTCTAAGAGGCTCTTGCTGAATTTCCTGCTATGTGGAAGTGAAACTGGAGTTTGACTTCTCTCCCCTCAAGGGGATGACAAAATAAAGAGCTTGAACTATGGTAAATCAGTTGAACCAGTGCAGAATGAGGTTCAGACAAGGCTAGTATAATTTGTTAAATGGTAATGGTGCAGATTACCTTGGTACAGCATGTGCTTCAGATGTTCAAATGTTTACTCACCCTTTCCCTGCCCCCTTCAGCTTGCTGCCTTTTATTCCTCATGAAGGAAAGGCTTATAAAAGACTGATGCAGATGTATTTTGCACACAAGGGGTCCAAAGCTACAAATGTGGAGTTACATTTGAAGAGCCTTGGATGCAAAGATGAGTTTTGCTTGTCAGAATAATAAGCTATTTAGTGTCTACAGGTTTATTTGGCAACGTGGCTGTTCTGGTGAACTGTGAGTCAGATGCCAAATGTAACCTTAAATGTAGTCAGAAATCTTTTAGGTATGTTAGTAACTTTATCTGGAAAACTGTTAGGGAAGGGAAAAAAAAAAAGCCCTAAAAACTGCTAGTTGATTGCAGTTTGCTTTCACTTAGTGACCTTTATTTCTAGTTAATTTTAGAAATTTCCTGCATTTTTTTTCTGCTTTTCCCTGAACTTGTAGCCCAGAAGGCTTACTCTACTGTCCAAAAAACTGTCGTTTCTGCTTGGTTTATCAACAGCAAAGATTCTGAAATTGTTGCTTATCTGGCAAACTTAATGATGCATGAGGCAAAAATAGAATACATCTTGTTCTTTGCAAGCTGTACTATTAAAGCAAATAGCTAAGTAAGATTTAGAAAGGATTAGACACTTAACACTTCTACAACACTTTCCATTTGTGGTTCTCTGAAGTGCTTTACAACTGCTAATTCCCAGCATCCCTGTGTGTGAGATTAGAGAGGCAGGAGGACCACTTGGGCAGTCTGTGGTGTCTTGCAACAGCTAATTAATAGCACATGGCTCTTTATCCTCTTTAAACAGGAAGTGAAGAGTACATCTTTCAGTAGAAGAAGGCAGATACCGGGCTGGCACTTGCTGGGATGTGTTTGTGACCTTGGGGTTTCTTTCTGGGTATTTGAGGCCCTGTGGAAACTAGAATGTTTTTGTCCCTGGTCAAGGACAGTATCAGCTTATATTTACTCTGTATTGTCCAAGCTGTACAACAACATCCTGAATTTAAAGCCTAATATAAATTCAGAAGTGAAGTTTGGAATCCTAAAACGAGGTGAGTTACAGGAGACAGTAGCCTTACTTCATGGATAAGAGGCTGATACACAGGAAGGTGGTGGCTTGTATCTCTTGTCACATGAGAACTATGGTGAATGATGCTATCAGGGCTGAGCATTCAGTGCTAGACACTCAAGGAATGGCTGAAGAATTAAATGTTTTGACATCATATAAAACCATTTTGAATGCTCTACCCGGTGCTGTTTGCCTCAAGAGGAACTTAAAACTGGAGAAGTGTGAAAGAGGGGGTCATTAGTTAGAAGTGTAAACATTTTTGTACAGGCAGAGGTCCGTGGTTTGGGAGGATTGTGTGACAGAAAAAAATGTGTATGGGTGAGAAGAGGTAATTAGAATATCTATGCACTGTTTCTTGTAACTTGAGGGGAAAAATGAAGTGAACAGATAACTGTTTTATTCTCACACTGAGAACAGACCAAAGGAATCTTTCTCTACAAAGCATTAACAACTTGCTGCAAGATGTGGAGTAAAGCAGAAGTTTACACAGCAGTGCACAACATGAGGCACAAAGCTATCAGTGTTCAGTGAGCTGCTCTGGTTGGAGAGGGTGTCTAGGTGGTACAGTGCTGAAAGCTGGAAGAAGATGAGAAATGTGACTGCTTGTGAGAAAAGGGGGCATAAAAAATAGACCTGTTCTGCTAGCTGCCTACCAATGGCGTGGTGCCAGGTTAGAAACACACCTTTGAGGCTTATCTTGCAGGTGCGTGGCTCAAGGAAAAGTGTCAGGAAGAAGTTCTTGCCCAACCATGATATCATACAGCTGACTAGGGCTAACAGGATCTCTGCTGTGCTGTAAGTGAGACTGAGGGACAGTGTACTGAGCCAAATGAACCGTGGGACTGGATCAAGACTGTCAGATCTTTTGTTGTTAAAATGTGCTCGTGACTCTTTGCAGTCTTGTGTTGATGAATTAACTTTCTGTTGTTTGAAAAGAAATATTTTCAGGAGGCTTAGGTTGTCAGTTCTGTATCTGCTTTTCTGACTGGGTCACACCTATTCTCATATCTATACACTCTGAGTTTGTTTGGCTGACCAATTTCCTTCTAGAAATATGCTTTGTAGAATAATCTGGAAGGCCAGCAGAACTAGCCTGCTGTTCTCATTTGTAATTGATTTGCTTTGTCCCAGTGGAAATCTTTCTTCTTTTCCATTAGAGTGAAAGAGAAGAGCAGCACGTTAGTTTAGAAGGAAGAGCAGGCAGTTGTTGCATCTGAGTGTTCATTGAGCTGTAACTGGAAAAAGACTTCAGTAGTGGAAGTATGCCCTGTTAAAAGATAAAATTCATCAACTTCAGACTTTTCATGTAACCCTGCCAGTGAGATGAGCTGTAACTGCATGTGTGTTCTGTTACCACACGTTAGCTGAGCTAGTGCAAGTCCTGGTGTTCTACTCTGTTGCTGCACCTTGTGTGCACCTGAGCTGCTGAGTGACTTCAGTTGATTTTACTCTCCTAGGCTGTTATTCTGTGAACTCTGTTTCTCTTCTCCAGCAAAATGAAGGGAATGTGGAAAGCTACAGAAGATGAGAGGTCTGGGCAGCAAGGAAGACAGAAGAGAAAACAGAAGCGTCAGTTCTGGAAGAAATTTAAGAAAAATGGTGGTGATAGTAATGTACCATCACAAAGAAATCAAAATGAAGCTAATGGACCAGGAAACAGTACATGTGAAAAAGAACATGAAAAACAGCCTGCTTTGGAGACTCAGCCATGCATGAAGGACGTTGATCCGCTCAGTTTTCTAGCAAACAGTGATGTTGGTAAGATGAAAAAGGTCGAGGAACTTCTAAGTAGTGTTGATTACTGAACTTCTGTGAAGCTAGCAGCTTTGGGAAGAGCTGGGGATTTCAGTATAACCAAGCAACAAAGAAACCCCACCATACTGTCATTGATGAAAAGAGAGCTAATTAGACATGTGTATAATGGAAGGCTTTTCCTTAGTAGAAAATTGATGGAAAGCTTTTCCAGTATTCTGGGACAATAATACTACTCATTGTTATTAACAAAGAAGCATGGTAGTATGGCTAGAACTATTCTAGGGTCGACAGGGGCACAAATCTGTAACTTTGAATGTAGTCCAACATCCCTGTGTCTAAGTCTTGCATTTAGAACTTCCTTTTAAATGGAAATTTCTGTATCCTGATTCAGAACGTGATCTTCTAAGAGATCTCATAGAATTTTCTGGATACTGACTTGGTGCTTTAAATCCAATATTTAGCTAACAAATCAAAGAGGGTTTCTAGGCTCTTAAAGAACAAAATTGAGGCTGCCAACAAGTTTGTGTGCAATCGTATTTATTCTGCTGTAAGTATTAGGCAACTGACTAAAGCACATGCATCAAATTAAGTTACTACATTAACACATAAAGTAAGAAAATATTTACAAAGCCAAAAGAATCAAGTATTGCAACAAAAGAATTATTTTTGAAGGGTGTTTAATATGTTTTAGTGTTTTGCAAATATTTAGAGTGTGAAAACAATGAACTTCCTTGTATGGGTTAAATGACATGAAAATATAAGCATTTTTCTTATAATTCCATTTTTTCCCCAAATTATCCAACTTGCTGTTGATGCTCTCCATATGTGTGCATTTCCTGAAGTATTACTGCTTAGGCTTTTTTGTGAGCATGTTCTGTTTTCCCTGTGCTGGCAGCAATATAAACTATACTGGTAGAACTATTTCTAATATAGTCAGCAGTGATGTAGTGCTCTTAGAATGTCAACGTAAGTTGATTTATACTCTAGTTTGTTGGGTATTTTTTTTAGCAGCAAGGCTAAAATGCATCCCCTGGAAAGGCTTCTGATGTTGAGTTTCTCCTCTTGAAGACATAATCTTCAATTAATGGGAACAAGAACCCAGCATCCCTGTGCAATTTGTTTATTCTACTCATCTGCGTGTTGGGAAACTAAGTATGATTAAATATAGCTGCATTTCCCCACAGCATCTGTGCTTTACTTAATGATAGGAATTTGAATTGTATGCGAGTACAACTAGGGACTTCTGTTATAATAGGTAGAAAAGGAATGCAGTACTTAATAATGTGTAATAAATCCAGTTCATTTTTCTATAATGAAGTAGAACAAACATTTCTTTCAAAATCCTACATCCGAAGTCCGTGGTTTTGCTGTATAGAAACGTTTTGTTGGAGTATTTAAACCTTTCAAACAGCAAGAGCCCTTTCTCTAGAGGCAGTGTGTTTGTGCATAATGCATTCACTGAAGTTCTTTTCAGTAGCTCGTTCCTTCAGAGCTAAGACATTCAATGAGAGATGAGGAAAACAATTTTCCTCTTCATTTATAAACAGAAACAAGATAAAGTGCCAGGTCTAAAATTCCTGAGGGAATTCTGATCAGAAGCAGGCAATTGTATGCATTAGTCCATAACACTTCCTCAAGTTGTTTTACTGTAATACACTTTCTATTTGATAGTGTTTGCTGAATTTGCTACAAGTGCTGGTATCCCTGTTCACTGCAGGGGAGTTGGACTCGATGGCCCTCAGAGGTCCCTTCCAACTCTCAGGATCTATGATTCTATAAAGTTTAATTTTAGCAATTTATAATAGCTTCTTTGCATATTCATAAACTCATTTCCAGTTTTGTGGCCAGATGCTCTTTAAGGAAGTATAAAAAACGTGTGTGACTCCTGCACACACTCAACAGTCTGAGTGTGATGGAAGTGAAGAGCAACTAGGAATCGAAACTATCAAAATAACTTGGAGTAAATGCCAGAGCTTTATGCTTGCTTAAGTATGCCATATGAAATACATTCTGCTAGGAAAATGCACTCTGTTTTCCATGAGCTTCCAGTGCCATTGCAGGTTGATGTGATTGCTGAACCAGTGAGTCAGCCATGAGGTCTCATAAGGTAAAGAAGCAGGTAATAGTTTAAATCCATGCCTGTGTGTTTATCAAAGTTCTACCAAATAACATGGGCTTCAGTGAAATGAATTGACAATTGTTACTGAGATACTAAAACAAAATAGTAAAGCACTTATGGTTTAAAAGTGAAGATCTCAAAAGTGTTTATTACAAAGTATTGCACCACTGTCCTATGGAGTATAATGTTCAAGCTGCAACAGCTGGGATATGTAAGGATGCAACATTCTTTGTAAAAACAAGATTGCAACCAGTCTATTTCTTTTAGCCCAAAGAGTCTCTTTCCTTAATGTCTGTGGTAATTTTTCTGTTAACTTCAGTGCTATCAGAGTCTCTCTAAGGTCTTAATGCATATAGATACTTTGCATCAAACTAAAGCCATCATAATTACATACATTTGTGTATATATATTTAGGAAGGTTGCTCTGTGTATGTCTCCCATTGTCACAGTCCTGTCAATTTCAGCATTTTTGTATCACTTGCCCATTTTCTGTGTTCCTAGTATTCCTTTTTTTTTTTTTTTTTTTGGAGTGATTTTTAGACTGCAGTAACTCACTCATGCATATCCATAATGCTCTGTGAGGATTTTAATATTAAATGATCTGAAGTCCTGCTGAAAACAGATTGTCTGATATATAGCCTGTGTCCTAAATGTCCCCGGTGAACTTTTTTTCTATCCAAGAATTTCTGTTTTTCAAATCCTCACTCTGAGGCTAATTTGCATGTTTAAATTACTGGTTTTTAAATCCTTCTTCCCCACCCCTTGCCTCCACAGGACTAAATCCAGCAAAACCTCAAAACACATTATGAAATCTCTTTTTCTCCTTACTTGCTCTTGAAATAAAACCTATAATTATATTTAATATACGAAGAAACTCTGAGCTGTTGTTCGGGAAGTCAAACTATTGTTTCCATAACTTTTGACTGTAAACCAGTGGTGAGACAGTTTGTCCTCCAAATCTGTGTTGGCTAGGTGGATATGCTTGTTATCAATCCATGGTATTGAGCAATGGTGCCTAACACTAGCTTTGCATAGGGATCATATGAGGATTTAACAATGCTGGCTGTTCATACAGGGAGTGTGGGGAAAAATCCCTCTTACCTTTTCTTCCCCTGCAGAGTCTGACAAGGATGAAGCAGAAACTGAAGATGCAAAGCTGGAGATGACTGTTGTTCCCAAACAGGTCACCTCAGCCTTGAGTTCATTGTCAGCCAACTATGGGAGTGCCTCTGAGAGTGAGCCTGAAGGTGTGTAGATGCTCTTCCTCTGATGTTCTCCTCTCCCTATCTCTTCCTTCCCAGTGCTGCTGTGTTTTATTTGGAAATATTTTCTTTCTGAATGCTGGGAGACATCACTTCTCATGCATTTTATCCCTTATCTACCACTGCACTCTCCATTTATTTGTAGATGCAGCCCTTACAAGTGTGGTGGCCCACTGGCATTCTTTGGTTGCATCCCTGAACTGCTGAAAGCTGCAGCTTTAGATGTCTTTCAACCTACATAGTACTTAAAGTTTCTTAAAGAAGCTTTTAAAGAAATCAGAATGAAATGCAACATGTAGTGATTAGCCCAGGTTATGCATAAGTTATAGTGCCAGTTCAGAGGTTGTATCTCCAGGACTCTTTTGGCTATGGAACTGCGTCTTGATCTGGGCCCTCTCTGCCAGTGCTGTAATTCAGAGCTGTCTTATACTGTCCTGGTTTTTTGTTGTTGTTGTTTTGGGGTTTTTTTGTGGCTTACTCTAGCAGAGGGAACCTTTTTAAAGGTTAAACATAGGAATATTTTTGCAGTCTGTGCAGAGAACCTCTCCAGTCTGCTTTTGGGGACATTGCATGCTAGTACAGGTGTAAGTCATGTGCAGAAAGAGTCAGGGAGAAGTAAAAGCATATGTCATTATTTTAGCTGTAGTCTGTTCCCCCATTCCTTCCTTGTCCCAGTTGGAGCAGTAAATGGGGTTTCTCTGTAAGCCATTACTCACTCCCAGTATGGTGATAACTCTTGATATTAGGAGAGTACCCAGGCAGAGGATAGCATTTGTGCAGTCATCCGGTGCGCTGCAGTGACCTTATCCACCAGGGTTGTGCCTCATCTAATTCCTTGTCTTTTTCTAAGCCTATAGCATATTTTGGAACATCTCATACAGTGTTTCCTGAAAGATTGGGTGGATTTCTTTCCACCCTTTGTTTGCTTTTTCTCAGCACCGTGACCTTAGATGAAGGGTGGACATAACATTTCTTTGGTTAGGGTGTGTATTGTCAAACTTTCCAGGCTTCTTATAGGCATGCAGTTCTGGGGGGTGGGAAAGGTAGCCTGTCTTCAAGTTTGAACAGAGCCAGGAAAACACTGTTGTGCTCACCCCATGAACTAATTTCCATTTCCTTAAGGGCTTTTTCCATCGAAGGCTGCTGAGTTTTGCAATGAGATTTGAACTCTGCAGTGCTTGGATGTTGTGCTGCTTTGAGCATATGCATCAGTGTATAGCAGAGAACTGCAGCTGCTTGTTTGCAGTTGATTACAATGCCTTACTTGTCCCAGGTGGCTTACTTAAAGTTGGAGAGAAGCTAGGAGATGGGACTGAACTCAGCCATGCTCTGCCCTGTGTAGTGATTTTCTCAGCAGCCAAACTTGCATCAAGTTATACTGTGGTGTGGAAGGAGTGTGCTTTAAGTGAACCCAAGGCAGAGACTTGAAAATCTTGTTCAACTCCTTGAACACAACAGAACAAAACCTATCCCTCTGTAGTACTGAAAAAGAGTAACTGCCTCATTTACCATTCCATGACTGCTTAGAGATAACTTCTTATTTTTAAATAAAAGCCCGCTCACAAAACAACAGAAATCCAAAACCCCAAACAAAAACCTCCCTTCTCCCAAGTGAAATCTGTACTTCTTCAGGTTGTGTAGAAAGAATACTCAAGAACTGCCAGTGCATGGGAATATAACCATGTTAGAGGCCTTTAAGTTTGGGAGAAAAGTGTTGGTGTGTCTTTTGCTTTTGTTTTTCAGAAGTCTCTGTCAAGATTGCAACAAAAGCTGAGGAAAATGAAGCAGCACCTCAGAGTCCTGATGTTCCTCAGAATCCAAAGCTGAATCAGCAGCTTCCAGAATCTACAGACACAATGCTAAGAAGCTCAAACTCAAATACAGGCTTTTCCAGAGTCCCTGATAAAAGGGCAAAGAGAACATTACCTCTCCTTCCAAAGCGTCGTCCGACTCTGCTGGAAATGGTAAGCTTTATTGTTACAGTGGTGTCTACTATACAAGAGCAGCACAACCTGTGAGCAGTTCTCCTCTCCCCTCAAGAAGTTGGAGAGGTTTAGCTGAAGCAAAGGCCAGGTCTTAAAATAGCAAATAAGTGTTTCTCTCAAAGCACAGATGCTGAAACAGACAAATGAAAACATCCTGGCGTGCATTCAGGTAACAACTGATTTTGGTGAGCAGAAGACAGCTTAATTGTGTGCTTGAAATGAGCTGCACAAAAAAACCCACAAACCTTTATTTGTCCCTCTCCCCTTCCTGTATTAATATTCTGTGTGTAATCCCGTCAGATTTATGCTGATCCTCCTCTCTTTGCACTCAGCTTTGTTATTCAGCTGCCTGATTGAGGAGGAGGCAGTTTTTTCAGCTGCAAAATTCTTGTTAACAGGGATGTTGGTGTCTTAAAATGTTGAGTGCTGTTGGACTGCAACCTGCACATGCATGGGGTTCTTCTCTGTAGGCATGTTTGAACCAATCTGAGGAAGTGACTGCAGGTCATGTTGAAGACTAGGTTGGTGTCAGAAGGATCAAAAAGAGGTTTGCAGGTGTCAGTGTAATGTGTCACAGTTCTGAACAGCAGCCTGAAGTACTCTCTATGAAATTGGTTTTCTTTAGTGTAGATAGAACTTTGCCAGTGCTCTTAATGCTTTCAGTTCTCTAAAGCAATATTTGCTAGGAGAGCAAGATCAGATAGGTTACACAGTTTTCCTGCCAAAGCAAAAAAACTGGGCACAGCTGAGGAACAAGCAGAGAGCAGAGTGCCACTGGCATCAGGAGTCTGATACAGCACAGGATGTCTAGGCAAGAGATAGTCAATGGTCTACATCCCAAGTAGCAGATCTGGGAGAAATCCCTTGATAGTCTTTTCAGTAGCACATAGTACATTTACTGCCAAGAAATAAAGCTGCTAGTGAATGGAAAAGGAAGTGTTTGTCCTTCATTTGTATAGCTCCCTATGCACACAGTAGTCTTTATCTCTTACTACTCTAAGTTGTTGGTGATCAAAGCAGTAAAGACTCAGGAGTAAGTCATATGAAGGTCTTGAATATTGAGAGAAAAATGGCACAGATGCTGGCTGAACACGGGGATCCTGATTTGTAGCTTGTTAGTCTGTTTTTAAAAGTACATTTTATCTTTTGCCTTTTAATGTTTCTTAAAGGATGTGTACTGTGGCTGTCAATTACAGAGGAGTTCTTGAGATTTGCACGTAGGCTTTTAAAGCTTCAAGGAACCAAGGGTGATATTGCTTAGTGAATCACTGAAAACGTTTCCAAAAAGTGAAGAATCTTTGCTCAGGAAGTGATGCTACATGAATGAAATGATTTTTCTCTTTTTTGAAAGAGGGGCACTTGGACAGTGAATTTAGGCACTACTACACATGACCATCATAGTCTTGCAAACAGTGTACACTTAGCAATGCTGTTTGCTGACAGGCCTCTACAGCAGTTGCTCCAGAGATACCCATCACTGCATTTAAAAATAGGTAGGGATGATGCATCTCATCTGTAACTTTGTTATGCGGTGTGGAAATTCAGCGCTTTCTTCCTCACCTACAAAAATAATGTAATTGTAGTGTCCATTCTCTGCCCTACTGTGCATCTACAGGTTGAGACAGGTTTATGAAGATTCATGTAAGGTGCTAGCACTGGTAACAGCTGGTGCCAGCTGCATGCAGCACCTCTTAAAAAAAAAAAATGGTCTAAATAGAAATGTGTGTACTTAAAGTGGCTGGCTAGATTTACCAAGCTTCTCTGTGGCTTTGCAAGCAAAATCTAGCTAGGATGTGTAATACAGAACTCCTGAAAATGGTCAGGTAGTTAAAGATTTAGCTACTTGCTTTAAACATGTAGTTTCACACTATTAGCTCTGCTCACAATGACAGAATTTTCCTTCAGCATTCTGACTGGTTTTTAACAGACAAATGATCTTTAGTCAGGCTGAAAGAAATAAGGAAGGTCTTCAGCATTTTGGTTAAGTTGTTAGACTTAAGTTGGTGAATTATGTCCCAAAATAGATGCTGCTATTTAAGTCCACAATCTAATAGCTGTTGAAACATGCCCTTTCTGTATAAGTATCTTTTACTCAGATATTTTCTAATAAAAGATGCACAGGATATTAAATTACAGATACAGTATAGCCTGCAAAGCTTAAAAAATGCTGATAGACTTGCTACCCTGATGTATTGTCCAGAGCCTGGAATTCTTCATTTTGGATGTTGGATAGCTCATGTCTGTGATATGAGAGCACAGTCATTTGAATGTACCCTGGAAGATGATTGAAGAGGAAATTCTGTGTTTAGGTGTATTATTGATGTTCTCTGTCACCTGAGCAAATTGAGATTGACAGCATAATCCAAATGGTAGATTTTTCAGCTTGTTCAGCCTGACTTAATGTGTTACTGGTACTAAATAAGTGATACTTAAACATACGTGATTTGGGCATGTGAGCATTCATCCATTTTAGTGGATCAGCCATGTGTAAGTACCAGTTGTGGTCCTTCTAACCTCTCTCCTTGTAGCCTCCTTGCCAGATGCCTGTTCCCACCTGTTCTTACCCATGCATCTTTGTAGGCTTGTGTCAACTACAGGCCAGCGGAGGGAAATATGCATCACTTTCTTTTCCTTCTTTGCAGTTACTGGCCCAGGACATCCGACATGAAAGGAATGTGATTTTGCAGTGCGTTCGATACATTGTACGAAATGATGTGTTTGGACTTCATTTAAAACCAGAAACAGAAGCTAAAACAGAGACTGGACAGGCCTCTAAAACTACAGCAGAGGCTTTGACGGACAAGCTTGATGGATCTCATTGTTCTTGTAGCTCTGACCTTCAGTTAGCAGGAAAAGAAAAAGATGTGTTATTAATAGCCCATGGTGAGGAAGCACCCATATATCAGGTATCACAGATGCATCACTCTGCAGATGAGGAGATATGGGAAACCCCAGCAATTCACAGTGAAGAAGGTGTCTGAAGATGATAAAGGCTCAGCTTTTCTACCTGACATCCGTTTTTCTCTTTTGGAAGACATAATTATTACAAAATCATTAAAGTATATGGTGAGAACAGTTAAAACTATGTTTCTGTTCTGCTCTGCCTGAGGTGACTGCTTCCTTGTGAAAACAGCATCTGTGTTGAGTAATTTTATTTCCCCACGGCTGAAATACAGCAGTGGCACAGAGTATGATCTGTCCTAGAGAAGGTGTGGATCCCTGGTTTTGAGCTTCAGATCTCTAATGTTTTACTTTGGTATGGATGGTTTCAGTCCATTGCCACAGCCAAATAGTGCTGGAGTATGGTGGATCCTTCTCATGTAAAAGCATGGCCTAGAGTGTATATGAGTATCTGAGCTTCTGGAGTTATCTGAGTGTTCTGAAATGATTATTCATTACATTTCTTTCAGCTGTTATTGGTCTGAAGTATAAATGAAAAAAAAAAAAATCCTAGTGGGAGAAATAACTGGCTTGGCTTTAAAAGCACTGCTTGTACCATGAGTATCTAATTGAACTGGGCAGAGAAATAGAAATGAGAGAGTGCACTGATGCAAGAAGGATTTATTTTTTTTTTTTAAATGTCAGTGTCAGTAAGTACTGCTTGTATCAGTGCTAGATCTGTGTTTGACCTCAGGTACTCATCGTTACACCTTAGACCTTAACTGCTGTCATAGGCATTACCTGTCAGGCTTAACTCTTGAAGCAAACTCCTGGTACTGAGAGTATTAGGTTGATTAGAAATGTTGCTAAGAGATGCTTGTTTCTCTGTCCTCAGTGTTCTTTGGGTATTTTAGTTTGCTGTCTGGAGAAATGTCTTCCTTGGCCTGTTGGTGGATGTTTGTACAGTATACTGACTTCTCATGGATTTGTGCATACTTGTTCTTCTGTGTGGCTGTACACACATGAACTGTTGTGAACACCAGCAGAAAATAAAACCAAACCATCAGCCAAGGTTTAGGAACGAGTTCCCTTGATTACATTGTGCATTTGTTTGTTAGAATCCTTCTTGTGCAGGTGTTAGTTTGTCACACTGACACTGAAAACATGTCATGAAAATAATCTGTTATCAAGTCTTCCACTTCAAAGTATTTTGCTTTGTGTCGTTTAGTCATGGTTAAATGTCAGAGCTGAGTTACTTTCTCAGGGATTATGGTTTTTCCTTGGTAGCAGTCTAGCTTAGCCCTCCATTCCACCACCTAAACATGACTCTTGATGCTGTTTAATGAGGGTTATTTTCTGTCCTCTGGTTTCTTAAATTAGGATTTGTGCCATACATTTCATCTGTGGTGTATAAAAAAAACAAAAACAGAACAAGAAGCTGAAAATTCTGTCCCACCACTCTATTTATAGTGATAATTGCATATTGTGCACTGTCTAAACTGATGGAATTCTATAAATATCAACACCCTTGTTTTATATAAAAAAGTGTAGTATAGACTGATGCAGTACTGGATCATAAACATATTTCCAAGGCAGATGACTTAATTCTTCTCATGATGGTCCCACAAGCCATCTCACTGACTTGGACACGGTTCTTACAGTCTTACTGTTATGAAAATATTGGCAGTGGGCTCTCAGCCACAGAGATCTGGCACTCAGGCAGAACCTGGCTTCTGAGTGGGTTGTACCAGTGCTGTTGAACCATATGGGTAACAACTGCACACATGCAGGAAAAGAAATGGAGGTCTTAAAATCAATGTGTAACTGCACTTTAATCAACCTTAAATGTGCTTCTATCCCTACCAAGTTGATGGCAGAGCTTTTCTTTGATTGTATACTCTGACTCCATGTAACAAAAACAAAACAAAACCAAAACTTTAATCTGAATTCTTTATACTGTTGTCATATATTTCAATATTAAACTTTCTCACAAAAAAAGACTTTGTCAGAAGAAAATCTTTTCAAAGTGGGTTTCTTCTCGGGGAAATCTCTGCAGGGTTGACATAAATCAGCAATTGTTTCTTAGGACCTGTGTTCCACAAATGCTAATTGCTACTGTACTTTGAATCTTTTCTTCTGCTTCTTATTGCAGGTGTGTGGAGACATTCTGTATGACTGCGGTTCACAGTCAAACAGAGCAGCAGCACAAGTTGAAGCTCTGTCTTTTCCTGTTCTCTGTTTTTATTTTCCTTCTAGGCAGAGTCCAGATTTCACATTTCCCCCCTTCCTGCTATTCAACTTTAAACTCAGCCTTTGGTTATGAAAGCTGCTGTAATAACCTTTCTGATACAGACAGAGCAGTACAGACAAATACCTATAGGCTTCTCCTGCCCTACCAACTTCCCTGTTCTTTTCTTAGTTGAATTGATGGGTTTTATTTACTCTTCTTAGCATTGAGATGCCTGCGTGTGAAAAGAACTTCTTGCTTCTGACATGATATGAGAACAAGTGTCTTGATTAATCTCTGTGTAGGTTTTTTGCCTTTAACATTGTTTTCTGTTGTGGTTCCTTCTAATTTTTGCAGTGCTATTAGGGGAAAGTCCTACTTCTCAAGGTTTGTGACTCATTTCAGATAAAAATATTCCAGTGACAACCTTCACACTTATGAAAATTTTATTTTTACCTTCTTTTATAACTTAACCACAGAAAATGTAACTGTGTATAGTGAAATACACCGCTGAGTCTTTGTTTTAAATCCAGCCCACCTATTGAGCTAGATGAATTGGGAGGGGGATTAAAAAAAAAAAACAACAAAAAACAACAACAAAAAAAACCAGATTTCATGGCTTGGTTTTTGTGGTGGTGCAATCTAGGCTTTGCTGTTAACCAAGTCATGCTACAGCACAGCAGCTGCCATCTGAGACCAGGGTGTGAGGAACAAGTGGTGTTTTCCTAGCCAGTATGACTTGGTCAACAGTAGTATCTGCAACCAATGGATTGTGTTAATGTTGCAGTCCTTGCATCAAGAGCACCTGAGACGGGATGGTTTGGCCCTGTGTAGAAGGGAGACGCTGGTTCTGCTGTTAGTGCTCTGATCTGTATCAATTCCTTACAACTGGGTGCATCTCTGCTTCCCTTTGTGTAACTGGTAATAACTGCACTGCAAGATTTAAATTATTTAGGAGCAAGTCATACAGTTGTAACAGATCTTAGATGTTTAAAGAGTGTTGAGAAACAAATCTAAGTGCTTGAGCAGATTGTTCTCCCGAAGGCAGAAGGTTAGGCTGCGCTATCGCATTCCCCAAACTGTCTAGACATATCTGGCCTGCCTTTGACTGATGTTAGTATGAAGGCACTCTTGAATGCCTTTAAAAGCAGATGGCTATTGGAGAAAGCTTCTGAAGACTAGAAAAGCAAACGTCATTTCTATGTTCAGGAGGAATCCACACATCAGCAGGTAGTCAAACTCTCCTTGATTCCAGGGAAAGTGCTGCAGCAGGTAAGCTTAGCAAGTGTCTCCTGATTCAAGGTACTTGGAATTACCATGGAGAAATGCTTGATCAATTGAGTTGTCTTCTGCAATGAGACTATTTGCTTAGTGGCTGAAGGTAAAGTAGTAGAAGGTGTTGTTTACTGCAACTTGAGCAATGTTTCAAGGCCTCTAAAATCATCACCGATGGGGTATGGGCTAAATAAGTGGGCAGCGAGGTGGACTAAACACTGGCTGAACTGCCAAGCTCATGGGGGTTATGATCAGTTTTCAGTAGGTTGAGAGAGGTGGTACTTTCTGGTCAGTGCTGGTGAGGTACTTGGAGTTCTCAGTCTGAATCTGGGTTCTCCAGTGCAAAAGAGACCTGAGTATAGTGGACAAGTCCAGTTCAGGGCCATAGAAAATTAACAGCTGGGGCTGGAGAGCAGGGAGAGGCTGAGAGCTGAAACTCCTCAGCTGGAGAAATCTTGAAGGATCTTACTTGTGCAGGTAAATACTGATGTGAATAAGGAAAATGGGTCCTGTTTTGAGGTCCCCAGTGCCAGCACAAAAGGCAATGGATGCTAACCAAAGCACAACGTGCATCTCATAAATGGAAGGAAGCTTCTTTAAGAAGGAAGCTGAAGTGGAGGCATTGCTTGAAATTACCCTGGTGTGGGCAAGTCCTTCAGGAGCTCTGCTCCCACCGAGGAACAAAGCAGGAAAAGTCTTCCTGCTGCCCACACCAAGCTGACAGACAGCTTGGTTAGGAGACAGACAGCAGGGTTAAAGAGAAGACACTGGGGCTGGACTCAGCATCTGTGACATTGGCCTATAGCCTGCACTGGTTTCCAGTGCTGCCCTTGCTTGACCTTGGGCTTCAGCTTTGCACAAGGGCTTGCAGAGGGGAAAGCTGAATGTAGTACTTTATATCTTCCTGCGATGCAATTTGAGACATGAATGAAAAATGCTATGTAAGTGTTAGGTATTGCTGTTACTTGGGAGGTGACAAGAAGAGGTGTCAGCCTGGGTGTTTATTGATGCAGTCTGGAATTGCTTAATACCTGGAAGAAACTTCCCCTCTCCCTGCTTCTCATTGCTCACAGCCATTGCTGTGTGACTACCTTCCTAATTTGTCCTCAGGTTTCTAAATATACCCTACAGGCAGTGGCTCTTGTCTTGTAAGACAGTTTTCTTGGCATGGTGTAACTTTTCCATCTTTCTTTAATGTATATATGTAAAGGGAATTGTATAGACTCTATATGGGCATGGAGCTTTGTGTGGAAGAAATGCCAGCTCAGTAAAATAAAGTTTACACTGAGGAGTATTTGATGGGTTAAAGATGTATGTGGTCACATTAGCAGGTGATTGTTCTGGGTGAGGGGAAGTCTAGTGTGAATTTCTGGAAGTGCTCATCCTGGGTAACTAACATCATGATTAAGATGCTGGTCTGGATGTGTGTTGCAGAAAATGAGATGAGAAATTGGAACAAATGCAATGTGTAATCAAGGGGGAAAAGGCAGATTTGTCTTCTATATGCCAGAACAAGTCAGGTACGGGTTATGATAAAACAAATTGCTTCATCTCCTCCAGTGTTGCTTTTACCCAGCAATATGGCAAAAGTTAAAACCAAGAGGGTTGTATGGTTTATTGATGCTCCTGTTAGGTTGTTGTATAGGACATGGTGTGTGCAGAGGTGGGGCCGTGCTTTGTAAGCATCTTGCCTTAGAATTCTGTCTCCCCTTTGTAGACCCGATGGTGCTTAACTTCTGAAATACTTGGTGATCTTGTCTGAAGTGTAACCTTGGTTGGGGGGGGGGGGGGGATAATAAAAAGAAAGTTGCTGCTGTCAGTGTTTGTGCTGATCTGCTGCTCCTGTGACTGTCTCAGAACAGGGTGCCTCTTAAACTCTGCTTCCTCTGCAGGTAAATGGGGTGGAATTAGCACTTTTCCTGGGAGACTGACTGATTTACAGACGCCCTGCCGGGCAGAGGGTCTGCATCCTTGAGGTAGTCACCTTTCCCTGACAGGGTGTGAATTACAGCTCTTTGCTGCTTCTCGTGCTTGGGCTTCTGGATCTGGTCCACACCTTTGGGTTCAGTGCAGCTATTAAGCACATTCAACCTGAATTTGGGAATAGCAGTGGGATGACTCAAACCACACTTCTCAGTGAGCACGCTGCTCCTAAAGCTCCTCGCTCTGCTGTACTTAAATACAAATCCTCCTTTTTATTTCTGCATGGTGTCTCAGCCAAGAGATTGAGGCTGTTCAGGGCAAGGTGTCAGTGTTGTGCCAGGCAATGTTGGAGTGAAGGTGATTGCATTGTATGACCACAGGAAGTTCCTGTAGTTTTCCAAATAAAAGTGGCGGTTGTTTCCCAACTTCTCATCGTGAATGGTGGTGCCTGTATCGGCTTCTGTTGTAACAAGTGATGCTTGTACTACAGAGTCTCTCACGAGAGAGAATGAAGTTTGTTCTGCCCTTGCAATCCATAACATGGTAAGAGAAGTGGTTTTTATTGCACTTCGTTTTTGTGGCCACGGGCATGTTTTCCATTTCAACTTCTAGGACCTCACCCATGTCTCTGTTGGTGTCTGAAACT